AGACTTGGCTGGTAATAATGAAAGAAATTTGCAGATTATTTGGTCTTTCGATTGGTCTAGCATCGTTTTTTAATATTCTATTACCATTTGCATTCCGGGCCAATAACGATACGATGATTGCAATAATTCAAATACTACAGGGACTAGTGCAGGTGCTGCAACACACTACATCCACTTTTCTTTTTGCAGCATTCATTTTCAGCTGCTAAACATATACAGAAAATTAAGCCAGCAGCTATTTTCATCCCAGCAGTAAAAGTACCGCTAATTCTTGGGGGAGGAAGGGGGGGGGGAGAGAGGGGATGAAATGTACTGAAACCACATTGAATACTTCTAAAGTGTTGCTGTTGCTTAACTGCTTCTTTGAACCTTTTTGTAATGAATAATTCACAATTGCTTCTTTTCACTAACGAAGATTTTGATACCAAGAATACCAAGGCGCCCGGACAGTCAGTGATAGGTACCCGTTTTGATTATGTTACTAAGATGCTCAGATATGTCGAGCGCAGCCATGCCAAAAAAAAACTAGTTTTGGCTTTTTCGCTTCGCACACAGTCATGGATCCTATCAACAACAGTTAAAGCACGTAACATCTTGGTCTTGGACTTATAAAATTAACCTAAATTTGAGTTTGCGATCTAAGACCTATCATGAAACTATTTGAAGGTTGATGTAATAGGTGTAAGACTTCTACAAGAATCGAAAAAAAAATTTAGTTTTCTTAGCTTTCGTAGCTCCAGAGTTATGATATGAGAGCTAAGATACCCAGCTTGCGTCAATCCGTTTTTACACTGATACACGACGTTAGCGCATAAAAAGACGAAAGCGCAGCGATAGATCCTATTTTTTCAAATTTCATGTCCTTTTAATCAGGATTATCCAACTTCAGAGAATTTGTGCATGTAACAATCAATAGCTCATTAAGATTTTCTGATTACAGGGTGTTTCATATCCGTCGATGCATGGCGTGTGGCGTTACTGGGCACCACCTCTGGAACGATCGAAGCTGGCAACGACCGCATTTACGGGTTCCTATGCTGGTGCTGTTATCGGTCTGCCGGCTTCTGCTTGGCTTGTAAGCTATGTGCATTGGTCTGCGCCATTCTACGTGTACGGTCGGTCTGAAAATTACTGCTCAATAACAATAATTTAAAAATAAACAATCATTAGGGCGACCCG